CAGTTTCAACTGCCAGAAACAATGGCAATGAAATTTTGAAGGAAGGAAGTAGAGTTCAAATATGTAAAATCCAGTCACTCTGACTTCTGTGTATAAAGGCTACAGACAGATATTTGCAGTGAAGCAAGAAATTAGAAACTAGAGTATGCATGAGCTCTTCTTGGGGGCGGGGTGGGGGGAGAAGAAAATAGGAGAAAAACTAGTTAATATAAATTCCTGTCCCCCAAGTGATAAACACTGACAGGGAGAAGCTCCATAAACAGACCGATGATGAACATCAAGTTCATTTAAACACCCAAGTGATTCAAAACAGATGCAAGAATTAGAGTTCTGAAATAGAATGCAAGTCATATCAAAATTTAATATTGAAAACATCACTAATCATATAAGAACCATGCAGTGGAAAAGGAGGAATGTTAGAAACATACGTAAGGGCACAGACCTCCTTTTTGTCATTTGTTCATTCAACAAATATTAGCTGAGCACTTACTATGTGTCAGAACAAGGTAAAGTCCCTGCTCTCATAGAGCTGGCATTCTACTGGGCTCTGGGACAATAATTCCTGCTACTTGCTTAGTTTGGGATCATGTTAGGAATCCCTTAAGGAATTGCAGAACCTACCATGCTTGTTCATGCTTTTAATGTCCTCTTTACCTGAAACACTTTTCCTCCCCTTCTTCTGTTTTGCTTCATTGACTCCTGTTGCTGCTAAGTCACTTCAGTCCTGTCCAACTCTGTGTGACCCCATAGATGGCAGCCCATCAGGCTCCCCCGTCCCTGGGATTCTCCAGGCAAGAACACTGGAGTGGGTTGCCATTCCCTTCTCTAATGCATGAAAGTGAAAAGGGAAAGTGAAGTCGCCCAGTCGTGGCCGACTCTTAGTGAGCCCATGGACTGCAGCCCACCAGGCTCCTCCGTCCATGGGATTCTCCAGGCAGCAGTACTGGAGTGGGGTGCCACTGCCTTCTCCATCATTGACTCCTACTCAGCTTTAAATCCTCAACTTAGGTGTTAACCTCTTCCAGGAAGCTTTCCCTAATCTCACACTCTGGTTGTTTTAGGTGTCCTTCAAAAGTGGCTCCTTTGGCCACATCTCCTTCCCCAACTCCTGAGAGCTTTTGTTATCTTGATATTTATCACACTTAATTGTAATTAGGTTTTATTCATCTATCAGTTCTTTTAGAAATTGAGCTACTTGAGACATAGATTATGTCTTCTGTGCCTCTGCATTCTGACTGCGGTGCCAAGCAGGGAAATAAGTAGTAACTAAATGTTTATTAAATAGATTAGTAGACAAACTGAGGGATGGATGGGAGGATGGATGGGTGGGTTGATAGATGAATGGCTGGGTAGGTTGATGAATGGGTGAAGAATAAAAGAATGGATAGATAATTCAATGGCTAGATGGATGGATGAATAGTTATATGTATGGATGAAAATTTAAGAGTGGATAGATAAGTTGGTTGTATATAGGTATGTATGTATGTATGAATGAATGAGGTAAAGAAGGGGTGGCTGGATTAAAGAATGGAAGACAGTGAACGAATGGCTGGACAGAAGGATGGCAATGGATGAGCTGGTTTCCCCTCATGCCACATCAGGCTTTCCTGGTGGCTCAGATGGGAAAGAGTCTGCCTGCAATGCAGCAGATCTGGGTTCGATCCTGGGCTGGGAAGATTCCCTGGAGAAGGAAATGGCAACCCACTCCAATATTCTTGCCTGGAAAATCCCAAGAACAGAGGAGTCTGGCAGGCTACTGTCCAGAGGGTCGCAAGAGTCGGACAGGACTTAGTGACTAAACCACCACCGCCATGCCATATCACCCTTGATAACCCACAGTACACGTTATCAATGTAAACTAGAAACCCACGCATGCCACGCAGTGCCTCAGTCTTTCTCCTCCTTTCCACTGGCTACTTAATAAAGTCCATGCTCCTCACTGTGATGTGTAATGCCCTCTATGATCTGGTTTCTTCTTGCCTCTCTAGGCTCGCGTCTCACGGTCGTGTCAGCCCCTGATTCAAGCAGCATGTATTACTTGTAAGTAGCCACCTGGTCTAAGTGTGGATGAAAGTCAGCCGCTGACACGGCCTCTAACTGGCACCTTGCTGCTTTGGCTTCTCCTGCTTCCTCTTCCTGGAATTTCGCAGGATTCTTTTTCGCCTAGTTTGTCCCACCACTCCCTGCATAGAATTACACCTTTACATCCGAAACTCTCTAATCTGCTGATTTTTTACTTGTGTGTCATTTGTACTAGGCTGTGAATTTCTTGAGAAGACAGGCCTAAATCTTGTTCAGTTTAGAATAAGATGCTATACTAGGCAAAGAATAGATATTCAATAAATATGTGTGAAAATATAACTCCGTGATAGACAGACTAATGGCCCCTAAAGATGTTTGGGTCCTTATCCCTGGAACTTGTAAGTATTTCACTATACATGGCAAAGGGAACTTTGCAATTGTGATAAAGTGAAGGATTTTTAGACAGAGAGGTTATCTATTTTATTTTATATACCATAGTGTATATACCAGAGAAGGCAATGGCACCCCACTCCAGTACTCTTGCCTGGAGAATCCCGGGGACGGGAAGCCTGGTGGGCTGCCGTCTATGGGGTCGCACAGGGTTGGATGCGACTGATGTGACTTAGCAGTAGCAGCAGCAGCAGTGTATATACATTAATTCCAAACTTCTAATTTCGCCCTTGCCCTGGGTTATTCAGGTGGCACCAAAGTAACCACAAGGCATCTTCAGAGATGGGAGAGTCAGAGAAGGAAATGTGATGATAGAAGCAGAGACATTACTTCACCAACAAAGGTCCGTCTGGTCAAGGCTATGGTTTTTCCAGTGGTCATGCATGGATGTGAGAGTTGGACTGTGAAGAAAGCTGGCTGCCAAAGAATTGATGCTTTTGAACTGTGGTGTTGGAGAAGACACTTGAGAATCCCTTGGACTGCAAGGAGCTCAAACCAGTCCATCCTAAAGGAAACCAGTCCTGGGTGTTCATTGGAAGGACTGATGCTGAAGCTGAAACTGCAATATTTTGGCCACCTGATGTGAAGAGCTTACTCATTTGAAAAGACCCTGACGCTGGGAAAGATTAAGGGTAGGAGGAGGAGGGGACAACAGAGGATGAGATGGTTGGATGGCATCACCGATTCAATGGACATGAGTTTGGGTGGACTCCGGGAGTTGGTGATGGACAGGGAGGCCTGGAGTGCTGCAGTCCATAGGGTCACAAAGAGTCGGACACGACTGAGTGACTGAAATGAACTGAACTGAACTGATAGAAGCAGCTGTCATAGTGAAGTGACTGCTGACTTTGAAAAATGGAGGGAGGAAGTGGGGGAAGGGATAAATTGAAAGTTTGGGATTAATGTATACACACTAGTGTGTATCAAATAAAACAGATAATCAATAAGAACTTATTGTAAGCATAAGGAACAATATTCAATATCCTATAATGACTATATGGTAGGTTTTTCTAGTAGTCATGTACATATATGAGAGTTGGACCATGAAGAAGACTGAGTGCTAAAGAGTTGATGCTTTCGGATTGTGGTGCTAAAGAAGACTCTTGAGAGTCCCTTGGGCAGCAAGGAGATGAAACCAGTCAATCCTAAAGGAAATCAGTCCTGAATGTTCATTGGAAGGACTAACACTGAACCTGAAGCTCCAATACTTTGGCCACCTGATGCAAAGTGCCAACTCCTTGAAAAAGACCCTGATGCTGAGAAAGATTGAGAGCGGGAGGAGAACCTTTTCAGAAAATGAGATGATTAGATAGCATCACCAACTCAATGGACATGAATTCGGGCAGACTCTGGGAAATAGTGGAGGATGGGGAGCCTGGCATGCTGTAGTCCACAGTCACAAAGGTTTGAACATAACTTACAGGCTGAAACACAGCAAAAAATATGGAGAAAGCATCTGAAAAAAAAATGGATTATATGTATATGGATAACTGAATCACTTTGCTATACACCTGAAATCAATACAACATTGTAAATCAACTATACTTCAATATAAAATAAAAATTCAATTTTTTTACAAAGAAGGAAGAGGCAATGAGCCAAGAAATGCAGCTTGACTCCAGAAGCTGGAAAAGAAACATAAAATTCTCCCCCAGGAGCCTCCAGAACATAGCCCTGCTGACACCTTGATTTTAGGTCATGGAGTCCCACTTAGGGATACACCGTCTTCTTCATTCACCATGTTCACCAAGTGCTGGCTTTGTGGTCAGTACTAATAATCCCTGATGAACTTCCCCGGTGGCTCAGAGGGTAAAGCGTCTGCCTACAGTGCAGGAGACCCGGGTTCAATCCCTGGGCTGGGAAGATCCCCTGGAGAAGGAAATGGCAACCCACTCCAGTATTCTAGCCTGGAAAATCCCATGGACGGAGGATCCTGGTAGGCTACAGTCCTTGAGGTCGCGAAGAGTCAGACACGACTGAGCGACTTGACTTTCACACACTGACAATCCCAGGTGTTACCAAGATGCTCAGTCCACAACGGGTGAGCCTTCATGGAGCCCCCAAGTTCACAGAGACTGCGAGATCCTAAGCTCATGTCATTTTAAGGCACCGACTTCTTATTGCAGCAAGAATAAGGAAACATCAGAAAAGGAGCGGCGAATACGCGGGGAAGGCTCCCTGCGTCTTCCCTGATGCTTGGCTCGGCGCGCCTGTTGTCTTCCAGCCCCGGGAGGCTGACAAGTGACGTGACTGTCACGTGGATACTAAGAGGCAGGAGGGGGTTGGAACCCAGGCAGTCTGGCTCCAGAGCCCCAGCTCTTAGCTGCTCCCCTGAGTTAAAAGATGCTGGACATCTTCACTGCTGTGACCCCCAGACACCGCAGCTGACTGTGGTAGTGTGGATTCTAAGGAAAAATCTCAAAGAATCTCAGTTCCCTCCTCATCCAGACCCCAGAGGCTGGAATCTCTCTTTCCTCTTCACTTTCCACCTTCTCTTTGCCTCCTTCCGCGAGGAGGAAGCCGGCGGCATGAAGGAAAACAGCCGGAGCGGTAGATGGACCTTGCTGGGAGCCAAGCGAGCCAGGAGGCAGCTCGGGGAGCTCGGCCAGGCTGCACCCCTGCCTCTGCCCTGGGGCCCCCAGTCCTGGCCTCCCACTGAGACGCTGAGGTGTTCGGGTGCCAAGTCAGCCTCGGGCTCCGGCCAGGTGGGCTGTGGCTTTTCCCAGAAATCGTCACGCTGTGCCAGTCTTCTCCTGGAATCCACGCTGCCCACGGTGCCAGGCAGAGTCTGGCTCCGCTGCTCCGGCCGGCCTGCGTGGGGGCGGGCAGCGCAGGGGCCGAGGCCGCTGCACCCAGGCCCCCGGGTCGTCAGGACCCTCTCCTGAGGCCTGCTAGAGGTCTGCACCCACAGACCCGGTGGCGCAGAGCAGGGCAAGAGGAAACGCGGACAGTGGGTAGACGGAAAACTCAGCTCCCCTCACCGGCAATCAAAGAAACATACGTTGGTTACCTGTCACACTCGTGATGTTAAAAATGCCAATACTCACGCTTTCACAGGTCCTGAAACAGATTTGCCGGGAATCAGTTTGGTGGTGGTGGTCATTTAGTCGCTAAGTCGTGTCCAACTCTTGTGATCCCAGGGACTGTAGCCCACCAGGCTCCTCTGTCCATGGGATTCTCCAGGCAAGGATACTGGAGTGGGTTGCCATTTCCTCCTCCAGGGGTCTTCCCAACCCAGGGATCAAACCCAGGTCTCCTGCACTGCAGGCAGATTCTTAACCGACTGAGCTATGAGGGGAGCCCAGAAATCAGTTTAGGCTTATAATATTGTTTTGAAAGGACTTCCCAGGTTTCTCAGCAATAAAAATCCACCTGCTAAGCAGGAGACTCAGGTTGAATCCTTGGGTTGGGAAGATCCCCTGGAGAAGGGAATGGCTACCCACTCCAGTATTCTTGCCTGGAGAATCCCGTGGACAGAGAGGAGTCTAGAGAGCTACAGTCCATGGGGTCACACAGAGTTGGACACGACTTAGCGACTAAACAATAACAACAATTATTTTGAAAACTTCATTCTCTCTGGTCCACTAATTTCACTTCTAGGGACTCATTCAAAAGGGAAAGACAAACAGACAACTGAATTGCAATTTATGTAGAACCATTATCATTGCCAGGTTAGGTATAAGAATTAAAAAGGAACAACGCCAAAGTCAGTTTAGGGGATCAGTTATATTTTGGTGATTCTGAATGAGAGTAAGCTAGGTAGACAATACAATGAAAATTTTATAGGACTTTAATAGCGTGAGAAACTTTTTCTGATGAAGGATTATGTGATAATGAGAAAATACAAACTTAATAGATATTGTGTGATTCAATCAGGGTAGGGGCACACACATGCACACACTTTTTTAAAAGGATATCCCAGAATACTGAGTGTGGTTATCTCTGTAACTAGTAGGTATAGCTTTTACTTTCTTTCTTATAATTATTTGTCTTCTCCAAATTGATTTATATTAAGTTTCAGTTACTTTTAAATCAGAATAAACACAGGTGTTAGTTCTTTAATCCACATCAGAGATACACTGTCTTCTTCATTCATCATGTTTACCAAGTGCTGATTTTGTGGTCAGTGCTAATAATCACACGTGTTACCAAGATGCTTGTCCACAGCAGGCGAGCCTCCATGGAGTCTTGAAGTTCACAGAGACTGCGAGATCTGGGCTCACCCAGGGACACAGAGCCCTCAGGAGCCACCTCTTCTTATACAAAGAGGCAGGTCTGTCTGTGCGCTCCACTGGCAAACGCATGTTTAAGCAACCAGCCCCAGGGTGTATCAGCTCACCTCACCTCCGTCCGCTTCACGTGTGCCTGCCTGGGAAGGACTCCAGGCACGTTAGGTGGACATTTATATTTTTGGAAACAAAACTGATCAACAGCAGGCAAAAGCAGTGTCTGCCTTCACTTTCAGAAACCCAACTCTGACCTCACAATGGGGCATCTTAGACTCCCTCCCTAGGCAGCCCCGGGTGTCCGAACCCCAGGCCCTCTCCCTCCTCCTTCCTTCGGTGTAGATGGTCCTCTTTTCCCAGAAGACCTGACCTTGAAGAACAGGAGCCAGAGACCTGAGTCTGAAGTCCAGCTTCACCACTCACAGGTTGTATGACCTTGAGCAAATTACCGAACCTCTTCAAGCTCAGTTTCCTCATCTGAAAAATGGACATAAGACCATGCCTCTTTCAAAGAAGTGGATTTTGAGTGTTCATCAATTAGAGTAAGTACTTCATGAGTTCTCACTGTGTCTGGGCCCCCTGGTACAGAGGGCAAGGTGCTGTGCTGATAAACCACACTTTGCGAAAGAAGAGAAAGGCCCTGATATGTGGCCTTTGCCAGATGCTGTGCAGTAAACACGCCCACCATCATCCGTTTCAAGCTACTGATGGCTTAACTGGTTGGCAAGATTCCTGCATCTTTAACAACCGGCTCTTAGGATCTCGTGAGCTTCTGTACTCCATCTGTCCTGGGAGGACCCACTGAATCCTGATCTTCATGGGCTCATGGTTTGATGGGGAAAACCAAGAACAATTTTTACAGTGATTTAATATCTTTCTGTCCCACCTGTAGGCTTTGTGACAGCAAGGACAATTTTTATTTTTAACTTTTTCTTACCATGTGACCTTCAGTCCTGGCAAACAGGAAGTTACCTAACAAAACATGTTGAATGAATGAACAAATACCTTCAACAAAAAACAAAATGATCGAACATTGGGTTAAATGTTGAAATGCAGAGTAACAAGGAGAAAGTCTTTTTCAACAGGTGGCCTCTCAGAGGAATATATATTTAAGAATTAAATGAAACAGCAGTTCTTTATTTTTTTTTTTTCCGGCCACGCTGCATAGCTTGCAAGATCTTAGTTTCCTGACCAGTGCTTGAACCTGGGGCCACAGCAATGAAAGCACCAAGTCCTAACCATTGGACCTCCAGGGAATTCCCTCAGTCTTTTCTTAATATTTCCTGTGTGGAAGTCCAACCTCTTCTGGAAAGCTTCTAGTCATGGGGAGCTCCCTGCCATACAGAATGAGGCTTTCCATTTCCCAAAATGGAGGTGAGGGTGTGGGGTGAGTTCTGTGGAGCTGACAGGAGAGAAGAGACCCTACCTCTGCTAAGCACCTACTATATGCCAGCCACCCAGGGCACAGCGTTCTGTCCATCACCTCCCTGAGTCTTCCTAATGTGGGTGTGACTCACTCTCCTCATCCTACACCCAAGGAAACTGAGGCAGTGAGAGACTGAGTCACGTGCTTGAGGACTCACCACCAGGATGCTCAAACCTGGCTCTTGCCTCAGGCCGCCCGATGCCTGATGCACAGAACCCAAGCCCAACACCCCTGGGGTGGGCACTTCCTGTGCCAAGTCTACCTGAACGATGCCCCCACAGTGGGACGAGACTCCCCGAGAGGCCATGGGTCTCTGAGAGCCCCTGACGGCAAACTCAAGCCACCTTGAGTGATATCCGGGGATTGGGGTGCTTACTCGGTGCCCCAAATACCCTCATCTGTTTTCCTTCCACCCTTTCACATACTCCTCAGCACAGGCAGTAGAGTTCATGGTTAATGACTGGTCAGTCCTAAAGGAAGTCAACCCTGAATATTCATTGGAAGGACTGTTGCTGAAGCTGAACTCCAATACTTTGGCCACCTAATTCAAAGAGCTGACTCACTGGAAAAGACCCTGATGCTGGGAAAGAGTGAAGGCAAGAGGAGAAAGGGGAGACAGAGTATGAGACGGTTGGATGGCACCACTGACTTGGTGGATATGAGCTGAGTGAACTCCAGGAGTTGGTGATGGACAGGGAATCCTGGCATGCTGCAGTCCATAGGGTCACAAAGAGTCAGACATGACTTAGTGACTGAACAGTGATAGCCAAGCATTAGCTGAGTGGACAAAGGCATGTCCCTTGCAGGGGCAGGTAAGAAAATCTGGACCCAGAACCTGAGGCCAGCTCAGATCTCAGTAGCTCAACCCCACAGGAGGCCACATGTTCTCAACCACATCGGATTTGCCCACAGCCCAGACACAGCTTAGCCACTGAATAATGAACAAAGTCCCCGGGGAGATTGGGCCCAGTGAACTGTGTTTAAAAAAGACAGATATGGAAGCCTCGGGACCTGGGTTACTCATTAAATTTTATTAAATGCTGATATTGCCAACCCTCATACATTGGCCAAGGGTGCTAAGTCATCAAAAGGCCGAGGCAGACAAACAAGAGCCTTACTGATTAACCAAGCCCTGCTTTCCAGGCCTGCCAGCTGCTCAGCCTCCCTGGCTGTCTCTCCTCCCGCTGGTCCTGGGGCCTCAACTGCCACCTCTGACCTGGCCCTTACACCGGCTCCAAGTTAAAGATACTCACAAACATTCACCCTGCTGTGCTCAGTTGCTCAGTCATGTCTGACTCTTTGCGACTCCATGGACTGTAGCCCTCCAGACTCCTCTGTCCATGGAATTCTCCAGGCAAGAATACTGGAGTGGGTTGCCATGCCCTTCTCCAGGGGATCTTCCTGATTCAGGGATCAAACCCAGGTCTTCTGCATTTGCAGGCAGATTCTTCACCACCTGAGCCACCAGGGAAACCCACATTCACTGGTGAACTCACAGGTCCTCAAAGTTTTCATGAATAATACTTGCAGAGAAACAGAAAAGTGGGAAGAAAAATGACCTTCAAGAAAAGCAAACAGCAAAAATGGAAAAGAAATTCTGGAATCTTCCGAAGTTCCCAGGGCTCTGTCTTAGCTGATGGTGTATGAGTTTCCTGTGTCTGCTGTGAAAAATTGCCACACACTTAGGAGCTTAATCTTCCCAGGTGGTGCCCTGGTAAGGATCCTGCCTGCCAATGCAGGAGATGCAAGAGATTCGGGTTCGATCGTTGGGTTGGGAAGATCCCCTGAAGGAGGAAATGGCAACACACTCCAGTATTCTTGGCTGGAGAATTCCAAGGACAGAGAAGCCTGCCTGGCTCTAGTCCATGGGGTCACAAAGAGTTAGACATGACTCAGCACAAGGCAATTGAATTAACAGGGGCTTAAAGCAATGGGACCTGGTTATATTACAGTTCTGGGGGTCAGATGTTCAAAATGAGACTGTGTTTCTTCTGGAGGCTCGAGGCGAGAATCAGTAGCTTGAGGCTGCCCACCGTTCCTCAAATCAGGGCCCACATCACCCTGCCTCCCACATCTCCATCTGGGACTCCAACCCTCCTGCCTCCTTCTTCTTAGGACCCTTGTGACCACATGAAGATGGCCAGATGATGTAGGATGATCTTTCCATCTCAAGGCCCTTAACTTAATCACATTTGCAAAGTCCCTCTCACTTAAGGTAACATGTTTTCAGATT